AGAATCAGGAAGTGAACATCTCTCTCCTAGGAAACAAGCCTTATTCATGGAGGTCTGATTCATGGTACAGTCACTGGTAGGGGAAAAAATGTCACTGAGGTTACTCACCTCTTTTGGAGCGTAAGTCTTATGCAAAGTGCGTATTTCACATGCAGAGCAGGTCATCTCTGAAACACAGACTTCATGGGCACAGTTCTCACTGGCAGAGTAGCCTCCATCTAAACAGATTTGCTGTGTTTTTCCATTTTCAATGCACTTAGGAACTCTCTGTATGTTGGGTGTGGAACAATTTGCAGAAAGACCTACTAGAATCATGTCTTGTTCTTTCTCAGGGAGTCCAAAGCGATCTGTGGTAGACTCCACTAAATTGGCAACAGCAGCCCTCAAGTCATCAGCTTCCTCTGTGATGGCAACATGCTTTAGAACCTCCAACAATGCAAGTATTTCTGAAGTTCTATTGGCAGTTTTGTGAGCATCATCTTGACAGAAGGTATTCACACTTCCCTTCAGGTTTAGCACTAGGAGCCAAGCTAAAAGGACATTAGTAGATGACTTACAAATTGGGGAGGAGAAGGGAACATCTGTAAGTGAACCCGGCATTTGAACAACTCCATTCTGAGTCTTATGAATACTAGGAACTAAAGCTTGCAGTTGGCGAAGCAACAGGACTGGTAGGAAATCTTTTGGAATGTCATCTTCCATAGGATCTACTTGAATGGCAGCCTCTACACTTTGCCCTTTTGTAGCTAAGTTTATTTCTTGGAAAACAAGGCTTACCTCTGATCCTGACTTTTCAGCAGATTCCTGACTTTTAGTATTATCATCAATAACTGACTGTGACAAAGTACAACATTCATGCAAGGAAGACAAGCAAGCCTCATTCAGAGATTCAGCCAGGCTCACAGAGAGGTCTCTGGTCAGTCCTCCACTGTTACCTTTATCAAAAGATTGAGCTACCTCTTTACTTAGATTATCTCCTTTCAAAGTGGCATTTTTAGTTATGTGCTTATTATTTCCCATGACATAATTATTTCCTTTTCCAGAATTTGCATGCAAATTATTTCCTGGAAAACTATTTATGTTACAACTTACCACACGCCTTTCCTTTTTGTATACTGAAGCTGATTTTCTAGGTTGCAGAGTTGAATATGGATTTATGTTCTGAAACCATCTCTGTATGTAATTTTGAACTGAATGATGGGTAATATCCTCAGAAAAAGCAGCTTTTTTCAAAGAAGCTAAGGAACTTGCCCTGGTTGTAACATGTTTATTTACACTAGTAGTTGGTTTCAATTTATCCCGTTTTTGTTTTTTCTGGCTTTTGAAATTTATGTGTGAATTATTAAGTTTTGAAACTGAGCTCTTGTTTGCTATTCCTCTCAAATACCACGATGTTATTTCTGCTTGAGCCTGTGGTTCACAAAAAGCATTAGGTTTTTGCTCAAGGAAGTTAAACATGTGAAATAAATTTTGATTTTCAAAAGTACTTTTGCAATATCTGAATTCATTATAGGGAGACACTTTATCTCCTTGACCAATTTCTCTTTTTGCAGATCCTCCTAAGCCTACCTTGTTTAGTGGTCTAGATCTTCTTTTGGCTAAAAGTCCTTGAACCCTAGGATTCTGAATAGAATTTAATTTATTTCTATGGAAAGTATTGGAATTCACAGGATTAAGACTATTTTTAGAACAAAAATAATTTGATTTAATTACCATATCACTTGCATGGAGGTCTTCATCACAAAGTATCCCTCCTTTAGGGGGACTGTGTGAATCTTGCAGTATGGTTTCCTGTGCAATTCTATCTCCTGTGTTTACACTCTTAATGCGAATTCTTTTGGTTCCAAATCTCCCATTCTCATGCCTGGAATTTATCACTTGCTGCTGAGATTTTGTCGTCTTCTTCCTGGCAACAGATGAAATCTGCTTTTCATTTTCAGGAAATTCTGTTAAACCACACTGAGAAAATTCATTAATTAGTCTGTCAATTCTTGTGGTGACAGCAGAGGATTCTACTGAAGCTGGCATCTCATATACAGTTTTGTCAGTTCCTGAGCAATTACTTGGAGAATGAGTTACATCTGCTGAAATAGGACTAAACCTATCTTTGGCGCTAATGTAAGTTCTTAAGTTCTTGATACTAGTTTTACAGTCTGATGTTACACTATCAATTATACCTTTCTCCAGAATTGAGTTTTCTGATATAGGGTGTGACAAGCCACTGTTAGGGGACCTCTCTAACATCTTCTGACTTGTAATTTCTACAACACCAGCACTTACTGCACTTGACTTGAGCAGTCTACACTTTTTTCTTTCTAAAGATGACTCTATCTGTTCATTGTTATCGATCTGAACAAGTACTGGTTTGTTAGATACTGATGACATTTTACTGCAAGAATGTGTGAACATGTGATACTCAGATTTGTTTTCCCCATCTTCCCTATCTTCACTATAGGAAAACTGTCTAATCATCTTCTCTTGAACTTCAGTTTCAGACACTAAGGTCACACTCCCTATTGCAGATTTCTTTTGTCTCAGTCTCCTTGGTCCAGGTGTAGGGGGCCTATAGAAATTATGCTTCACTTGATCCTGAGTTCCCTGGATGATATTTATGTCCATAGCAGCAGTCTCCCAACCAGCAGAAGTGCAAGTTTCAGCCACCTGATCTTTCGTTTGAGTGTTTATCTCCTCTACTAAATTGCCCTCTTGATTACTGCCTTTCTCCAGAGGTGAGACATCTGCAGATAATGAACATGCTGCAATCTTTAAACCAGATGATGGATCATCAGTTCTTCCTGGAAAACTGCTTATCTCACTCTTTTCATGATTATTAGAAAGCCCAGCTCTACTGATAGTGGTCCATTTTATGGTTTCCTCTTCTTTTATCTTGAATCGAACTTTCATCTCAACTGTCATAGTGCCATCTTGATTAAAAATAATTGATTTCTCAATATCATCTTCAGAAGGATATATCAATAAATTCTGAGAATCATTTTTTTCTAAGGCCAAGTAATTTTCAGGAGCAAAAGAGTGGTCTGAGTAACTATCATTATTATGCATTTTGTCAGAAGAAACAGAGTAAATCCGGGGCCTTGAGCGTGAAGGCACATGCATGCTCACTTTCAAGATTATAAGAGTAAAAGATGGCCCACATCATAATGTGGAAGACAGAGAAGTTATAAATATCCATTGCAAGAGGCAGCAGAGAAAGAAAAGAAAAAAGTGAATAATTAGTATGAAAAATACTTTTTCTAAATTTCATAAGATGTCAATGCATTCCATTGGTTATTTGACTTCACTGTAGTATGTGGTACATTTCTACAAACTAACATTAAGAGGAGAACTTATAATCTTACTTCAATAAGGAGATTCATGTAATTTTAATGCTTAATGGGGCAATTTTAATAAGGAATATAAAAAGTAGAAACTGCTAAGGATTCTAGCAAAAATTGATTTTCAGGGGGTTTTGTTTTGTTGTTTTATTTTACTAGTACTAAAACTGGAGTCTAACCAGGTACTACTTACCTATTCAAACAAAAGCAAGTGATAATGGTGGTATTCATTTTCCTATCTGTGCATATTATCCAAGAGAGATATCAGTAGCATTACAAAAGCTAAACCAATTTAAGATTCAAAAGGCTAGATTAATCACATAATAATTGTTAGGTTAGCATTCACTTGATATAATCAGTGCATTTGATTTAATATTGGGCACAAAAGAGAACAGAGCTAGACATAGAAGATACCTATCTTTTTAATGTACATCTAGAGATAATTTTGACACTCACGTTTCTTAAACAAAATCCAATTCCTGTGAATAGTTTACACAGATCTGCACATGCTTGATATCAGTTAAATACCATTACTATTTCAAGAGTATAAACCCAGAAATATTTTCTCTTGGTTTTGGTATACTTTTACCAAAACTGCAAGTGAAAATGTCTCATTCATAATTATTAAAAGTAAAAGTTAAAAGATGCTGAAGCCATCAAAAATCATACTTAGCAACCCAAATTAAACACAAAGAATAAAATCATCTGAGTAAAGTGACAAAGGTGAAATAGTAGTACCATATGCATACCAGGTATTTGGCAGCTAATGCTTATGAAATAGAAACATTAATATTTACCTATGGAATGTATCCATGAAATAACTAAATGACAACAATAAATAATAGATGAATTTCACACACTTTAGAAACAAATAGAGGGATTAATACTATTTAAAATGTGTATTATTCTATGTCTAAATAAATCAAAAACTAAAAATTAAGTATAAATGGCAATCGAAACTTTAGCCTAGAGTTAAAATGAATGAGATTAAAATATTAAGCATAATGAATAATGACATTAGCCATGCCTGCATAGGGAATTTACAGCCTATCTCACTCTACTGGGCCTCAAGAGACTCTCCTCCTCCCCATTCAAATGATAATGCCACACTGTGCAGCATTTCCTAAGGAATTATTAACTTACATTGTCATTAACTAACATGAATTGGCCACATGAACCTTTCTTTCTTATTAAGTAAAAATTAGATCTAAGGGCCTATAACTTCTTCTGGAATAACTTCAGAAACGTGCATGTACATAGAAAGAGATTTTAAAAGTCACTTAACCTGTTGAGCTCAGCTATGATACTGCATGGGACTAGTTAAAGAGAAAACTCTGCAATTACCAGAGATGTCACTTATACATACTACATAGAATTCCTCTCCTTAAAATGCTGCCATTTTAAGTTTTTAGCTATGCATTATATGAAAAAAAAAACATGTCTCATCAATTTAAACAGACATCATTGATTGATTTGGAAAAATCTAAAATAAATTCTCAGATGATTCCTATGACTCTTTCCAACTATAAATATAACCAATTTTAATTTAAAATGTTTTTGATCCCTTCATTGTCTCTTCTGTGATGAAGGCAACTGGTCATTTAAGCATTGACTTTTTTGTTGTTGAGGTTAAAAAAAATCTCAGGGCTATATATTTAAGTCACTTACTCTTTCTGCTTTGTGACCTAGCATTTCCCTTGGGGTACACATGATGAGAGATCCCTGGTAATCTAGCAGGAAGCAAGCACTTTTGGACGTCATAATTTCCTGGTTTAAATGGCTCTCTTCCTGCAGCCACCACAGCTCCAGAGCTCAGGATAACTGCCTGGAGACTGAGAACCTAGAAGAAACCAGAGTTACTATTCATACAGGAAGAACATGAAATTTCATTATTTCTATACAGTAATTGTATAAATGAGTGAATCAATTCAACAACCTCCTGAGTGTGAAAGAGATACTCCCATCATTTGTTAGGCATGTATACAAAACAAATACCAAAGTGCGTGTGGAGACTGGGGCAGGAGCTAGACCAACATCTTTATTGAGCCTACATACTAGCTGGAGAGAAACAAGCTCGGTCTTCCATCATAACTGAAGAGATCTTTAAAATATATGCAATACTGCCTCTGCCTGCCCACCAAAACATCCAGCTGTAGCCAGACGTACACCCTGTGCCAGCTGAGAAAGGGCCTGGTGGGCACACCAGGACCAGCAAGGTGAGTTCTTGGGGACTCTGCCCTGTCCTCTCAGCAAGGATCCCAGGAAAATGTTTTCTCTATCACTCTCGGCTACTCCTTTTCAAGAAACACTGTCAAGATTAGATTCTGTGTCAACACATTATATAACCCATTGCTCCCAGAGGGCAGACGGGGTGGGGGCAGTGTGGCCGACGGCCCATTGACCTCGGAGGGAGAACAGCGACCATCCACCCAGGTAAGGCGGCCCTCCCACCGGCGTGGGAACACGCGCGCGCAAAGCCTTCCTTCCCCGGGCCTCTGTCCACAACGCACACGACGCGAGCTCACATGTAAGGAGTCCCAGTACGCTTACCTTCCTACCGTCCGTGGCATACAGCTTGGTCACCGGACGCCTCATGACCTCAGTTAGGTGCTGCAAAAGGGCCTCAAAGCTCTGGGTGACCCTCCGGCTAAGAAAGACCGTGCACCTCGTTTTGGGGTCGCCGTTCCGGAAGACCACGAGCCTCCGCGGAGAGCGCAGCTTGCTGGGAGTGGCGGCCGCAGGCGAGTGGTGCGCGTGCGCGCTGATGGCCCGACTGCTGAGCCAGGGCCGTGGGCGCCGGCGGGCCTTGTCCAGGTCCACGGGCTGCACTTTCCTGCCATGGGAGCACAGGTACGACTCGCCGTCCTCTAGCTCTTCCAGGCTTGTGATGCTGTGCCTTCCTCGAGGGGTGCTGATGTTTCTCACCCCAAAAGGCAGGGGCACCTTTCTTGACAGGTTATCCAGCAAAGCATCAAATGTCTTAAAGGAACGAGGGTTGACCACCACCCTGACCCCACCAAATTGCGGGTCTCCACTCTTGTAGAAGCTGATCTTTTTGGCCACAACAGGGTGCGTGAAGCTCATATGGCGAGGGAAAGGAACCTGACCTTCAGGAGAAGTCGCATGAATCATGGAAACAGTAGTGGAAGGAGTTTTGCTCATTTTGGCTGAAACCTAAAGAGGGAAGAAAATTACTCATCTCCAGAATGACAGCACCATAAAGAATATTTGATAATCCTAAATGCAAGCTGATTATAGTTGTAGATACCTAGGCTATTCCTAGGATTCCATTCATTCATTTATTCACTCATTATACCTGCCTATTTTGAAAGATAATTTGAAGGGGATTACACTAAAAAAAGAAAAAAAGGAAAGAAAGAAACAGTTAAATAAGGGTAGTTATCATTTACAAGGTAAAAGCAACCTAAAGACACTAGTAAGGGCCCAGGAAAATAAATTATGATATACAAACCCATGCAATGAAACACTAAGCAACCATTAAACATGGCTTTATATATCTCTATCTGTTGGCATAGAAACATGATCATGACCTATAACTAAGTGACAAAGCAGTTTGTAAAATACATATGCTATGCCAATGCCAATGTACACATATTTATTATACTACTAGAAAAAAGTCCAGAAGTATATATAGCCCAATATTGATGATCATTATCTCTAGAGGGCAGAGCTATGGATAATATTCTGCCTTTTTAATACTTTGCTAAATTTTTTGAATCTTTAAAATTAACAGGTATTATCAAGCAATTAAAAAATAACAAAAGTAACACAAATCAGAAACCATCCAATGAAAAATGTAAGTTTTACCATTGGTTGATTTAGTTCTACATGTCCTGGCAGTCAAGGAAAAGTTTATAAAGTTCAAATTTCTGTTGGATGGAACCAAATGAATTCATCTGGAGAAAACTGTTCCTGACATTAAATTCTAAATAGAATGTATTATATAAATACTTAAACTAGGGCCTTATTAGAGACAATGTAAGATGTTTCTCTTATAGATAGAAAATACAGGTTAGTTATCTAACACACCATTAATCCTACTTTGGGAAACACTGAACAAATTATTCTTTGAATGAATGACAACATTGCTGAGCTGGTAAAAATGATGCAGTCTGGAATGTGCTCCCACTAGTGGTTCAAAAATGAAAACTTCAGGAGGTAAATTAAGAGCATTTTCAGCCAATCATGGAGGTTTTCCTCTTTCACTTCCCAAGTGAATCCACAGTTAGACTGACAAGTGAGCAGCTTGTGGAAGAGTGTATATGGTTCTGGGCTTGTTTCTCATTTGTAGCATATTGTGGCTGTTTTCTATTGTTGTAAATCAATATAATTATTAGTGTCATTTGACACAGTAAGAATACCTTGCAGTCTTGAAGACAAATTGAACAAACTAAATAAACGTGATCAATATAATAGAGATGAAAAAAAGACATGTTTGTCATTATAAGTTAGCTGTAAATCTGGCCCAAACCACCTACTTAAATGTTTGCAAGCTGTTATCTACAACCTTCATATATCTCCAATATGATCTGCAAATCTTATTTATATGTAATTTAGGAAAATGCATTCAAAAGTCAGCCTAGAGATTAGATATGTCTCCCATTCTCCCTCCCCAACAACTTCAAGTAATTATACTACTTAAAATAATAAAGGCAGCTGTAGCAGGCATGTGTTCAGGAGCTGGAGAATCCAGCTTTGCAACAGAGTCAGCAAAACCACAATCTCTTCTTATCTTCAGCTGATAAACTGTGGCCTGACCTTGGGCATGCTACTTAATCTCTATGCCCTTACAACTCTAAGAGGGATAAATTTGTTCAGTATTTAAATTAAAAACTTAAGGATTCTTTTCCTCCAACTACTTTTCGGGTTTGCTTACTTACAAGCTTAATTGAAATATTTCACACCAAGTGTTTGAGACATATTTTTCACCTGATTTTGGACGATTATATTTATATATAAGTGCATAATAAGGCTTTTCATTTCAGTAGTGTTCTGCCTGGATCTCACTATTCAGAGAGCTGTCAACCTGGTGATCATGCTGGGAACACAGTTATGTAGGCTGATAGGCTAAGGATTTTGGGCGGGAAGAGCTGGCTAAAATAACAGAAAGGAGATCTATTGCTGAGACCAGGAGAACATGGAAAGTAAGAACAGTTGGAGGGAAGAGGTGCCCTCCCCCCACCCCATTGTCTATATCCCACAACTGCCCAGCCTGATTTTGAGCCTGATGCATGAAAGGAAACAGCTGAAGGTACTACTCCTGGGAAGATGCCCTTTGCCCCAAAGTAGGGGAGTATTTGCAGAAAAAGAAGCTGCAGCAGGGTGGTTTCCAAAAATCTTGATGAGGAGGCTGTAATAAAACAGAACTACAAGTTCATATGTTCTTCATTGTATGTATTAGAAACTCTGGAAACTCCTAGAAGTCACTGGGGGAGTTTTAAAGTATTGAGAGTGCATACATGCAGGTGAGGTTTAAGATCCAATGGTAAGTTGGGCATTGTGTGTATAACACAGAACATGATGAATTTTCAGTATCCTTATATTATGAAATAAAAGGATCTGTGTGCATCATTACATAGTATCTTCACTGAGGAACAGAGTGCAAGCTAGACTCCTTCCAGAGGAAGTGTTTCAGACTTTGCCGTGACGTAATTGTATGTATCTCCTACAGTATCCATGGGAAATTTACAGAGTAATTCAATAGCACAATTGAGAAAGAGTCTGGGTGTCATGAGCATGTCAAGGAGGGATGGTAACCCAGCCTGAGGGATTGGGGCTGAAGGTAGAAGAGATGGCAGTTTCCAGAGGAAACCCTGTGTGAAGCTGAGACGCAAGAGGCAAAAAGTAGTGGATATGCCCTCCAGGAAGAGGGCTTAGTGCTGAATCTACCAGTGCACATGAGCAAGACCAGCAACATGGTCAAAAAGTCCTGACAGTAGTGTCCCCTTTTGTGAAACAGAGCTACCAACCTTCCACAACTTTTAGTTACCCTGTCTTAATTGTGCGCCTTTCTTAATCAGCTTTAAAAACGAATCCAAATTTGGATGGAAATTAAAAAATGATTCTTTACATACTTTTTAAATAATAAGGTTTATTCTGTGCCCTCTGAAGTTGGGATGAGGAAGTAATAAAGAGAACAAACTAGGTAGCTTAAAGTGATTTAATTCTCCTATCAGATCAGGCTGATGGAGAAGGGTAGGTAAACAAGAGCAAACTGGGTTACTGTCCATCCTTGACATGCTCATGGCACCCCAACTCTTTCTCAATTGTGCTATTGAATTACTCTGTAAATTTCCCATGGATACTGTAGGAGGTACATACAATTATGTCACGGCAAAGGCTGAAACACTTCCTCTGGAAGGAATCTAGCTTGCACTCTCTTCCCAGTGAAGATACTGTGCAATGATACACATAGATCCTTTGTTCCATAATACGAGGATACTGAATATGCATCATGTTCTGTTATACATGCAATGCATACAAAAGTTTACAAAATGCAAAAACAAAAGCAAATCTTAAGGCCCTTCACTTTCCCTACCACTGACTTCGCTAGAAGTAGCAAAGGACCTTGTTAACAAAATCTCTTGCCTTCAGCCCAAATTATATTGAATCTGCTTCTAATGACTTGAAAGATTGCTACCAGAATCTTTCCCTCTTCTCTGAATTCTCTACATTGCCTAAAGCCAGACCATGGAACTATCATTAATATTCACATTGCCTTTTAAGATTAAGCAAAAATTTTAACACCCTTCAGCTCACTAGGTTGAACCATGTTTATGCTTCTCTGTGCCCATGATTGGTGTCAATCATCTGTGCTGCTCAAAGATAAGTAGTTGCCTCTACCAAGAGGGCTGTACCTTCTCTCCACTACTCACTGGACAAAACAGATGACAGATTGAGAAGATGCACATGCACCATTTCACTAATCATACTTTAAATTTAATTTTCTACCACATAGTAGGGATTCAGTCAATTCAGAAAAAAGAATGAAGTAGACAACAAAATAAGAAAGTTGGTATACTCATAATGTTAGTCCTGTGGCAATTCAAAGATTTGATATTGCAAGAAAAATTAGTTTATTTCACAGATTATCATCACTATGTGGGGTGGGGTAGGGAGTGGGAGTTCAGAGGGCAATACACCAGTTATTCCCTGTGTCACAGCTTTGTTTAATTACAAGCAGCTTCCTTCTTTAATGTATTGCACAGATTTCTCTAATGAGTAATCAGAAAAACCTTTACTCATATTTGAATACATGACAATTTCTTGATTTCCTGATACTGAAGTTCTCTCCTACAGCAATATCAGTATATTATGAAGGTCTCTGGCATATTTGGGTAAAATATAATAATTATTAGCAATATTGATTCTTTTTCTAGTGGTTAAAGGTAGAACACAAAAAAGTCATCTAGATATAAAATGGAAGATAAAATCTAACCAGCTAAAGATTATTTTCCCAATAAATATTTTAAATAGTTTTGTACTTACCAGAACTTGGAAATCCCTTATAAAGAAAAAGATGTTTTAAGTTGTTTGGATAATTCACACACACACGTACACACATCTGTTACTGGATATGTAACCTGCTCATTTTGTGCAAAGAAACTAATGTCTTTGGATTTATTCTTAGCATATCCACTCAGAGATTGAGTATAGCCAATTAATTTAATCCAAGGTGATGCTAATCACCAGACAGTATTCATTTTAAGGGGACCACATCCAGAAATAAGCCAGTTCCTCAACTGCTCCACAGTTCTGAAATCTTCCTAATTAGAATTTCCCTTACATTATCTTGCTTACCTAGTATCATTCACAGGAGAAAATATCTCATCAATTCATAAGCATTTCTCTCCCAGACAGCCTTAAGTCTTCATTTATTTATGTTAAAGAGAAAAAAATGCTGCTGAAAAGGAAATAGTTTGATATTTTATCATTATTTGGTGAGTAATTGAGTCAATATTTGCTTATCATAGTCATTAAAAAAGAAAAGGACTTAAGCCTTTTTATTTTTACTTTTAAGCACTCCTGCCTTTACTGCATCAATATAATTCTAAGGAAAATGGCTATCACTGTAAACAGTTTGGCTACCCTGCATAACACAAGACAAATAGGAGAGGCAGCACACGATGAAGTGAAGTAATTTCATGCTTCTG